CGCGGTAGGCGTCCATCAGCATGGCAGAGAACATAAGACTGAAGAGGGTTGGTGCCAGCACGCATCCCTGTTTCACTCCGTTAGTCACTGCGAATGCCTCTGAGACAGCTCCGTTGTCCGTGACTCGCGCCATCATACCGTCGTGCAGCTGACGCGCCATCTGAGTGAATCGCTCTGGACAGCCGAATTTCTGCATGATCTTCCACAGTCCTTCACGATTCACCGTGTCGAAGGCTTTCGTCAGGTCCACGAAGGTAGAGTACAGGTGGGTCCGCATCTCCTGACACTTCTCCTGAAGTTGGCGGGCGGCAAAGATCATATCCGTGGTCCCACGATGACGACGGAAGCCGCACTGGCTTTCTGGCAGAAGGCCCTGTTCCAGGTGGTTATTGAGGCGGTTGAGAAGGATGCGAGCGAAGATCTTCCCGGCGATGTTCAGCAAGGAGATGCCACGGTGATTGTCGCAGTTTTGGCGATTCTCTTTTCGCTTGTATAGGTGCACGATTGTTGCGTCCTTGAAATCTTGCGGGACTTCACCTTGACGCCACATCTCCTGGAAGAGCGCAGTCAGGTGATCCATCAGTAGGGGACCTCCGTGCTTGTAGACCTCAGCAGGGATTGCGTCCGATCCGGGTGCTTTCCCGCTGGAGAGCTGCTGCACGGCCCTGATGGTCTCCTGGAGAGATGGCGGGAGGTCGAGGTCCGCGTTGGTCTCGACTTGCGGCAAACGCGCGATGGCGGCGTCGGAGATGGCGGAAGGGCGGTTTAGGACGCCTCGGAAATGCTCGGCCCATCGCTGAAGGATTTGTGTCTTCTCAGTCAGGAGAGTACTGCCGTCGGCGCTGAGGAGAGGAGCAGTGCCCTTTGTCGGCGGACCGTAGACAGCTTTGATCGCAGAGAAGAAGTTCTTCCATTCGTTGCGGTCCGCGTAGCCTTGGATCTCCTCAGCTTTGCGAGCAGTCCAGGCGTCCTGCATCTCGCGCAGTCGCTGCTGTAGGTGGCGGCGACTGCGGTAGAAAGCAGCCTTGTTATCGTCAGTGGGGTGATCGACGTAGGCTTTGTGTAGGCGGTTCTTCTCAGCAAGCAGATTTCTGATGGCGGTGTCGTTGTCGTCGAACCAGTCCTGGTGTTGGCGGAGAGCACGACCGAGGACGGTGAGCACCGTCGCCTGGACCGTGTCTCGCAGTTGACACCAGCGGTTCTCCACGGAGGCGTTTTCGGCAGCGGCGGCATCGGCGATGGGGAGGTTGTCTAGCCGTTGAGCTAGCTCATTGCTGAAATGGATATGGTGAGGGGGCAAGGACAACAAGGCAACATTCAGCTTACCTGGGGGTCGCTTACCTTGAGGTCTCCTGCGAGGCTGTAGGCGAATACGCATCTTCGAGATGACGAGGCGATGGTCGGTCCACCCGTCAGCACCCGCGATCGCCTTCGTCACCAGCACGTCCCGCTGGTCACGCCTTCGGACGAGGACATAGTCCAGCAGTTGCCACTGACGCGACCGAGGATGCCTCCAAGTGGCCTTCTCTCGCTCCGGCAGACAGAAGAACGTGTTTGTCAGGATAAGGCGGTGTTCTGCGCAGGTGCGGAGCAGCAGCAGACCATTGTCGTTTGAGCCACGGAGACCGTGGGGACCCAGCACTCCTCTCCAGGCAGTATGGTCTGTGCCGACGCGGGCGTTGAAGTCGCCGAGGACAACCAACTTGTCCGCCATCGGCACAGTCGCCAAGAGGGCGTGCAGGTCCTCGTAGAATTTGTCTCTGACGGCGTCGGGGTTGGTCATGGTCGGAGCGTAGGCGCTGATGATAGTGGCGAATTGGCCCCCCCGCCGGAGAGGCAGGCGGAGGCTCATCAGGCGATCGTTGATGCCCTGCGGCAAACAGGGCAGTCGTCCCACGATGTCGTTCCGAATGGCGAAGGCGACACCCGCGTCCCGTCGCTCTGCCCTGGGTCGACCGCTCCAGAAGAAGGTGTAGCCGGCACCCACCTCCTCCAGTTGGCCTTGTTCGGAGAAACGGGTCTCGCTGAGTGCGGCGATGTCCACCTTGTAGCGCGCCAGTTCTCGTGCCACTAACGCTGTCCTCCTTTCCGGTCGGTTGCTCCGCGGATTGTCTAAAAGGGAACGAACATTCCAGGCTGCCAGAGTGAGCGGACTCACCCTGCCAGTCTGGTGACGACGAGTGGGGCGACGGGAGGGAGATGGAGAAGAAGGTGACGAAGGAGAAGAATAGGCAGAGGAAGAGGTAGAAGAGGTAGGATGAGGAGAAGGAGTATGGTTGTTGTTGTTATTGGTATTGTTGCTGTTTCGATTTTGAGTGTTTCGACCATGATTAGACGTCTGCGGCCCTGGCTAGCCTGGAGACGGCGTGGTACCCAGCAATGTTTAGGCCACCTTTTCTAGGCCCTTCCCCTCATGGGGGCAGGCAGTGCCGCCCCTGAATCGGGCTGCCCATGTGCCTGGTTGGCGCGACCGATCCCACTATGGGGCCACGACTTTTATGTTCGTAATGGAGAACGACCGCATATGCCGTGAGTCCGCGGTCTCCGTCGGCGAGGGTGGGCGCGTCTCAGCGAAGGCGATGAGGAGACCCGTCCCGGCAGCAGTTATCCAACGGCGTACCAGGCAGAGCCTCGTCTCGACGATGCCGGCTCAGTGTTTCATCCGACCATCCATCCAGCGGAGTCCGCAGTACACTGTGCACGCGGCACAAGCGCACAGCGCCCTCACCTGGTTTAGCCCGCCGGTCGAGACGGTTGCCCGGGGTGTGGCCGCTGAGCAGAGCCCAGCTACGTGGAGCCACAGGTGAGAGTTGGGTGCCAGCAAATGGACGCTAGGCGTAGTCTCACCTGCAAGCAAGTGAGCGACCACTACGACCATCACGTGAACCCACCGCTGACACCCCATACACCCCGGACAGAACACTAGTGGGTTTGGCACGGGAATATGGACCTTCCCCAGTACTACATGTGGCCTTGCGCTAAATTCCAGAGGTATCTATTCCCGCGTCCCAACTTTATTCATGAAGCCAACTTCAAGTATCCCTCTCTTCTAACCCTATTTTGCGCGAAGAAGGTAAAGATAAGTTGCCACCCCAGACCACTTCAATATGCCTCTATTCTTTCACTTGCTCCTGCAGAGCAGGTCATATTGGTCGTACGAGTCGGCGCTTATCCAAGAGAATACGGGAACACCTCCCAGCATGGCTGGGAAAAGGCGAAACTAGGAGCATAATCAGCACCATCCTCGCGCATGTTGTCGATGCCGGACATCATGTAGACCTCAATTAAGCGTTTCGTGTGATCTATAAGGTCCCACCGAGCTATCCTAAACCACTGGGCCAGCGCCTGTTAGCATCAGCAGAAGCGGCGGCCATCAGGTCGCGAAAACCAGTCTTGTGCGCACAGAAGAACCACGTTCAGGCTCCGCGCCTACAGTGGTCGAAGGTCGAATAACGCTGCAACTCGCCCCGCGCCCTTCCGCTCTCACTTCACCCCCCACATTTCCACACCCCGCCTGTGTTTTAAGGCGAACTTTTATCGATTTCTCTTATCGCTGGCATATTTTACTTCTACCCCGTTCCCAGATAACTGTACTGACCCGACGAGAATTTATCGAAGGCCACGTATGCTCGCCACCATGTCTTCTGATTAGAAATAAGCCTCAACCCAACCATCCTAGCTCCAACCCTAACTCTCCTAAACCTGGGCCGAACTCTAGCCATAATCTTTACCCCCCAGGCGGAAGTTTGCGCTGTGACACATGTACTACGGGGATACAAGTGCCCTGCCCACTGGTGTATGAAGGAAGGGAGATAAAGTGAATTTAGACCAGTTTAGAACAAACGTTTACTTCCTAAGTACAGACAACCGAACGAGTGGGGAAACTGTCTTAACGTGTTAACTGTCTGGGTCTGACAGGTCAACGACCGACGGAATAAGCCGAGCTCTGAGGTCAGAAAGCAATGTCTGGTCCTTGCCGTTTCGCCTACGGTAACTTCACTTATGTGACCTCGGAGACAACCCGAAAAAACTTGATTTGTCTGAATCTAACTACCAATTTGTGGGGAGAGGCACGCGTAGAGGGTCTACTCTACTTTTTATCAGGCACTACACCCACGACAGTCTCAAGTGGCTTGATCCGTCTGATCACTAGCACACGCTGGACGTTGGAGGAGAGAGTGGGGCCTATACCGACGGAAGTTTATTTCCGTATAAACATATTTACGTGCAACTTGTTGCTGTGGTCCATCAGGGCAGTGTTGCTCCCCATCGCTTCAGATAAACGAACTATCATATATATGTGTTGTTAATCCGAAAAGAACGGCTCTTCCGTCTGTGATAACATGATATCCATAGAGTGATGAGTGTCGGTCTCTTGTGGAAGCGTAAATGGATGGAATAGGAATAAATTGAATGGTTTCTGGATGCGTAAATATAATGGACATAATCGCTCTGGGTGAAGCTGTTTCAACAACTACAGTGTTTTCTTATAATAATTAACAAAAACCAGCGTAGTATTCCAGTCCAATTATCTGGACTGGGTTTGGCAATTTTAAATTATGCTTGCGAGTTATAAATCTTCACGTCGCCGTTCTCTCAGAATAATGGTGCCTTGACGATTCTGCACAACATCGGGCGCCGTTCCACCTGTCTGGTTTTAGTGACGTGCGCAAAAGAGCGCTAACACTCCCCAACGCCTCGAAAACGGGTCTAGAATCTGGCCTTTATGTCTTGTCTGCTTTCCGGACAATGTGGGCATTGAACTGGTGGGGAAATTGGGAGAGCGCATTGGTGATGTTGGCGACTTACTCATCCATCTCATTAGCATAGACTGACCTTCACAACGCAACGACAAATGGCCACTTATGGCATACATGCAGCCGTACGTAGGCACGTGCAGTCACCCTATATGCAAATAACCTGAGTTGGTCAAGCAGACATTCCTGGCGCCGAACGACGGACGGACGAACGCACGCACGTTCTTCACAAATGCAGTCAAAATGACCACTCCCTTGGATGAGAACACCTTCTCGTTTACGTACCTGGGTCGATTTACAGCTCATGATTTCGGATACTCCAGCTCAGAGGCCATCCATGCCCAGCTGGTGGAGTACTACGTGGCCTTTCTTGCACGGGCTTACGAACAACGACTTCCTTTTGACAAACTGAACGTCCAGAACCCGATCGACACTCGGCTGGTCGCTCTCGAACCGAACGGGGTAAGTGTGCGAAGCTGGCGTTACCGAAGGTTCAATGAGGCAGGCACCCTGATCAACGAGAAGGACGTCTACAAAGCCGAAAGAATTGTCCTCTGCGATTGTCTGTGTTTCGAGGTAGTCCAGTCGGCCGGGCGTGGCGCCTCCTCAACCCGCGATTCCGCCGTCTGTTATGCCTACTTGAGGCGTGCTGTGGACTCCAGACAGACTATTTCTGAGGCAAATCTCAGGCCGCTTGACGTCCGTCTGAGCAATTGGCTACTAAAGTATCGCCGCTTTCAACGTCCACCTCTGGTCGTTCTGGCGATTCATCGAGCCTACGCTGACAGTTGTGTCGACCTGCTGGTCTTCCTCGCGTCCAGCCAATCAGAGGGCCTAAAATTTGTCAAAAATGTCACTGAACTGGCCTGTAAGGTCACACCAATGAGACCACACCGACGAGTTCGTCGTCGCGCACGCACTGCAGACGCCAAATATAATGAGAACCCAAGAACCACGACTGACAGCTGGAGACGTCCAGAATCCCCTCCCGGTCGGCGTCAGGTCTCCCCGCAGCTGCTGTTCAGACCGAACCTAGCGGCTTCACGTGGGGAACCTCTGCAAACTCTGGCCAGCCAGGAGACTCACTCCCCGACATCGCCGTGCAGAAGTCATAATTGGCATGGCGAATGTTGTCTGCCAATGGGCATCCTGCCAGAAATCCTGACAACCGCAGAACTTAAGAGAGTGCGCAGTCGACTGTTGCAGTACCAGCTCGGACAAGAGGCGATGCGGCACGTCTACAATCGACGGCGGGGTCATGTGGACCATGATCCAACATACTGGCAGCATACGTGTGAGGACTTCTCGACGGGCCGACCGAAGTCCTGTTCTGCGCTCTACCGCGGCCCAGATGTGGGGACCAGTTTTCAGTAAGATGGGCGGACGACTGCGCCGAAGACTGTAACTGTTTTAATACCGAGATTTGTACATGGATTCATGCGGCTCCGTTTTGTGGTGGCCAATGTATTATTTTCACTGATTCGTCATTTGCATCACTTTTAACTTTAATAATAATGCTCATCCCTTTTAACACAGTATATCGATGTGCAGTCCTGGCATTACATTTGGACATCAAGTCGCAGTGTGATTTGCGACAAAGGTCTGGCGGAAGTTGCACGGCTCCGGCCGAATGATAGGTGCCCTAGTTCAGCATGGATGAGTTCTAGAAAAAGGCTAGAACCATCAAATATAAACTTCGAATACTTTTTTTCCACTAATTGGTACGAATTAAACTAAGTTGGTTGACAAGCGGGTTACTATCACCCCTAACATTCATTCTCATAAGCGTCTCACTTTGGGAAATGTAACGAGTATGCGACGTCCAAGGCAGTCACAATGGGCTAATTGAAAATTAATTGCGCAAAGTCGAGATTACGACAAGTCGACAACAATCACTATAACAACGTATGCATATTATTGTTGGCCCAAATGGGGAGTAATTTGCGCAGAATGTCATTAAAAAGGGGAATCCCAGTCATAAGATGTTTGAAGTTGCCTTTACGGATCACCATTTAATGCATCTCAGTCAAGATTGACATTCACTATATCCATTTTTTCCAATGAACTCAGAAAAACTTGAAATTTAGAAAAAACTCATTCACCGTATGCAAGACCATGACTGACTAGCAAGTTTACTGAACCGGCTTCGGAAAGAACAGAGCCACCTATATATGGGCTGAAATTCACACAGAATTGACGTTTGACGATTGCAAAATATTCTTGACTATAAACTGCTGACCGCTATGCAACGGTCTACGTGCGTTGTAAACCCAGAGGGCCAACGCGAGGCAAAAATCGCGATTTCCGACCTACAGCCGGGATGAATCAATGAACGCTGTTCCCCACTTCCCTTCAATTACCGCGCTCCACGACTGAACACCGCAAACATTCCCCCCTCTTCTCCTACGCCTGCAAGCATCGTAATATAATCGGCATGACGGTAATTACTCACGAAAGTACAGTGTCTGGTCGAAATCCTTAGATGCACTTTCCGTCAGAAAGAATTACTTAGGTGAGTCTGTTAGATTAATTATGGTGAGGAATAATCCTAAGGTATTTCAGTCACGCCAGGATGCCGTCTTTTAAATGAGTTTCGTTATGGCCGCCTGCAAACCCATATTTGCCGAACAATGATCGCCTAATTTGCATTATTTCTTTCCACTGATTTTCGGTGTCCTCGTAAATTTAAATATGGTTTATGTAAAACATTTAATTATTCACATTTGGTAGCAAACATCGTTCTCTTATTTTTAACTAGACGAAGTGGAATCCTTCGATTTTAGAAATACTTTAACATCAAGCCTTTAATTCCTGAATAATTTTGAAATTGGTCTACAAGTTAACTTACGCAAAGGGATTATGTCGAAGCTTTAGGATGGTTTAGCAACAGACCTAATACCTAGTCAACTACTGCTTTACTACACATGACATTCAGATGAGCCACTCCCTTACCATCCTTTTGAGTTACGCTCAGGAGAAAAATCCCTGTTTGTATAGCGTGTAGTTTATACGTTTACTTTTAATGCATGCAAAGCACAGCGACGCCTAGTCAATCTATTCATTTTACACACGTTGTAAGAGATTGAATTTGTTATCTAAATTGAAGGACAACGTTATCTTGGATGACATAGTTTACCCATACCTATGGGTTGCAAACTCCACATTATTTATTTCCTCCAAAAGGAAATTACCATAACCTCATCCGTGACTGCAAAGATGTCTCTTTGTGCGGGTGAAATTCGCGGACGTCTATGAATCATGTTGCATTACTAAACTGGAGTGTCGTCGTCCACATAGAGGATCATGGGGGCGTCTCGGTTAACTCCATGAGAACTAAAATACCCTAAAGCGTCAAAATGATAAAAATGCACTTTTCTTCAAAAAACTGTAAAATAATTATATACATATATTTCTCCTGTAAAATAAGGGCCAACAACTAAGGTAAACAGTTGCACAGTACTTAGGCAATTCTTCACGAACGTAATTAATGCAGACAGCAGCATACTGCGTTCAGGAATTGGCGTAAGATTAAGCTCCTAGCTCAAAACCTGGAGACACTACCTGCGTGACGTTTTTTAGAGTGACTTCACCAACCAGGTTTCGGTACATAAACGTACCAGTGGGCATTGGGGCTTAGTCTAAAGCCCTCGAAGGTAGCTGCATAGCGACAAGGAATAGCCGGAAAGAGAAATGCCGACAAAGACGGAGGAGACTGCGATAGTCCTTTCTGGCTTATTAGCTGTCGTCAGTCAGCATCACGCAAATCCAAGCTCGTAGAACCTGGGATTCGGATCCGGATTGTTTGGTCATTGAACATTTTCAAGTCAAATAGTCTCTGATTGGGCCACGGGCCCACTGTCCCGCCAGTCAAGTAAAGTTGGCTGGCCATCCAAGTCTCTCTTGTCTTGGTAATACACCTATTTTCGCATAATTTCTTACTGTCTGGAAAGCTTACCGAAAATAAACTGTTAATGTGTAATGAGTTTCCGCGCGTATTACACACTTGCTTGATCATCACCAGTTTTACCTGAATCTGAATCTTTTATCGACGTCATAAGATACACAAAAGAAGTCGGCGTGTGGCAGATCGGTAAGCATACACAGTCGCGGGACGAGCCTGTATCAGTCTGATGAACACTACTGAGTATCCTTACTGTGGTAAAACAGCAGACCAGCTTGGAATAGCCAGTGAAATGGCGCACATAATGTAGAAGGCAGTGGTACGACTCATGCAGATAAAAGGAAGTTCCCTTTAACTAGTCGATTTCCTACGACAGATTACGCGTGTGGGAGGGAGGTTACCTCTTGATGCATTGTCTTAGAGAGTGTTTAAAAGGCGTTTACTTGGAGAGAGGGTAGTTGGAATTGAGTATATGCATAAGAAAAGTAAAAACTACTGCTCTGCAGAGTTTTTGGTCGGCGCTTCGTCGGCAGATAACATTCGCTAACCTGCACCTCCCCAAGGAGCTGGTTCTGTTGAAATGTCTACAATGGTTCAGTGTTCTTCAGTACGAGGAAAGCTCAATTTCAAAAAAAAACCATTTGGCGCTGAGAGCCGTCAGTTGGTAAAAAATGTCCGAAATATTGTTAGATGGAATGTATGCGTTTGCCAGTAAAGCGACAGTGTTAAAACGCTGGTGAACTTGTTAAACAGCATTTTCTTACGCCGCGCATACACTTAATCTCTGCCGCGATGGCCAGTTTACGTGAGAGAGATGTCACGGACTAATGCAGACTTGGTCTGGCCATTGCTGTTCAGTGCTTTTCAGCAGTTAGACACGGAAGCATTCTTGAGTTTTTGCTAGTCCGAGCGACGCGCACAAGCCAGAAAACAGACTTCCGTGCATATACGGTACTACTGATATAACATACAGTAGGTGGGCTAACTCATCTAATGTCGACTGAAATTCCAAAATGCGTTTTCGTTTTGAAAAGATTAATTAAGTAGGGTTGTAAAACTAATCATTATACAGCATAAATCTATAATAATTCAGTTACCCCAGGACGCCAGCTTTCGAATTACCTTCCATCCGACTGCATGCAAAAACCACGCGCTGTAAATAATGACTCCCTAATTAGCATGCATTTACTCTTTGATTTTCGATGCCCCTGAAAGTCCAATTACATTTCATGGAAAACATGCAAAAAATATTTATTCATTTGCTCATTCGATAGAAAATTACGTCTTCTTCCGGTCTTATAATCGAAAAATGGATATAGTTCGGTTTTCAAAAACTTTTTCAATTCCCCAATAATTCTGAACCTGCTCCAAGGCTGTACTTGGTTTCAGGGTTTCGAAACTAAAAGCCGTATATTTTCCGCGTACGGAAAACCACAAATTTCTCTACGCTACTAAAGGGCGACCATATAGGGTTCATAAAATTAAGTAGTGCATTTGATCCATATTGTCAACTTTACGAGCCACGTTGGTAAATGCAGAGTCATGACGGTTTATGAACGGCCATTTCACGATATTTAAATGTCCCACAATTAGATACTTTTGAAAACCGAATTATGTCACTCCTTCGAGTATAAAATTAGAAGAAGACGTAATTTTCTGCCGAATGAGCAAAAGAATGGATACTGATGCATGTCTTCCATGAAATATAATTGGCCTTTTAGGGACATCGAAAATCAATGAGAAACTTCATGCTACTTAAGTTGGCATTTTTACAGTTTAGTTTTTGCATGCAGCCGAAAGGAAGTTCATTCGAAAGCCGGCATCCTGAGGTAACTGAAATATTGCAGAATTATTTTGCAGGTTAACTAGTTCTACAAACCTACTTAATTAATCTTTTCGAAACGAAAACGCATTTCGGAATTTTGGTTGATATTTCTTGAGTTAGCCCACCTAATGTACACCATAATTGGACTTTTAGGGGCATCGAAAGTCAGTGAGAAAAATGTATGCTACATAAGCAGTCATTTTTTGCAGACTATGGTTCTTGCATGCGGTCGGAAATAAGTTCATTCGAAAGCCGCCTCCCTGAGGTAACTGAATTATGATAAAATTATGTCGCGCGATGGTTATTCTTACAACCCTACTTAATTTACCTTTTTGAAACGAAAACGCATTTTGGAATTTCGGTTGACACTTCGTGAGCTAGCCCACCTACTGTAGGTAAAAATTAAAAACCCAAAAACCTCAGCAATGGACACCTAACCAAATTATCCCTTTGCCATCATTCGAACAAATCGAATCTCCAGCTCAAGGTCGGAATATGAACCTAGTTACTTAAAAGGACAGCGATTCTGCTTGAAAGGGGGTTGCAAATAGCGGAAAGGAGAATGTCAACAGGGACGTGGAGGATTCGAAAAGTTTACCTACAGGATACAACGAGCATGGTAGGGAGAAGATATTTCGCAGTACACAA